TAAATTTATCCATTAATAAATTCCCTGAACTTTATAAAATATTAATAAACTGGAAAAAAAATCAGAATTATTTTGTCATGCAATCAAACTTATTAAAATGAAAAATGATAAGTAATACCATTTAAATTAAAATTATTTATCTTTTTTGTACTTTGTAAATTTTTAGGAAATTCCTATACTTGGGAGAAATTTTGGGTCCTGAAAATATTTTACACCCATTTTCATGAGTTGTATTGCACAACATTATTTCTTGCTGCCTGCAGACGACTACACTTAATCAAGAATATTATCAGCAAAAAATCAAGGCAACCAAGGAGGCAAATTTCCTGACTTTCCATGATTTTTTCTGAACACTAATGAAAATTCCTGTTTTTCCTTATGTTCCAGGTGTATAGGAACTCTGTACACTATTCAGGTGATAATGGTTACCAATGTAAGAAATATGACTCTTCCAGTATTGAAGTGATTAGTATAATAAGGGAAATTAAGTTAAAGAAGCTAGATGTTATTCAAGAATTAAAACATTACAGCATTAAAATATTACAGCATTAAAACAATATTAATGCTACAAAAATGCTAATGCTGAAAATTCTAACCTCTGATGGTGGAGATAAATTATCTCCATTGGCCACATTTCTACGAAGACGACGAGATTCTGCAACGCGTGGTTGCTTGATCTGTGGCTTAACAGGTGTCGTCTCTAACGAAGTGTACCATGTCCCCGATGGCTCTAATTTTTGTTCTAACTCTTTTTTAGCTTTTTGAATATACTGATCGTAAGCCTAAAAATAAAACAATGTAAGTGAAATCAAAATAAGAGTAAATTCAGGTTATAATAAAATATTCACTTCAATCTGTTTTTGTAGAGATAATTCTCGTTCTTTTAACTGCTCACGATATATTCTTTTCTGTTCCTTTTTCAATCTGCTGACTTCTAACTGACGTCGCTTCAGTTCGTCACTTAATGCTAGAATGCGACCCTCTATATCGCTCTGATCTGAAGCAGTCTCTAAAATTTGTAAGTTCATGCAATTATTTTGAATAGTTGGGATAATACAGAAAATATATTTATAGTTTTCACTTACCAGACTGAGAAACTGTAAAAGAATCATCAGACCCACTCGAATCATGCCGATGATGCGTATGAGGAACTAAAGGAATCCGAATCATCGCAGGTGGTTTCTTATTCAGTCCCCTATATTTTTGCTTTGGTACTGTCCCATTTTGTAGTTGAGAATCAATATTTGAATGATCAGTTGATTCAAATGATTCAGAATAAATTTCTGTTTCTGATAATCTATTATAAACAAACAAAAAAAAAATCTGTTATGTATTATAAATCAAAATAAGTAATATAATTTTGTGTGGTAGTATATAACCTGCACTGGCATATACCCAAAAAACAATAGACTTATTATTATTGAATTACACAAAGTATTTCATAAGAAATTTAAATATAAGCTAATAGTCAAAAAATTTAAAAAACATAGAAAGATCAACTATAACAAGAAATTTAGATGTAATTATTACATGAGGTATTTGGTTATAACGTAATGAAATGCAGATTTGACCACAGAAAAATGAATATTAACCCTTTCAATAATAACTTTGTTGTTGCTGTTCTTTTGACCTTGCACTGACGTTCTAACATTCATTCGGAATTCTTAATTTTTTAATTTCAGAACTGTGATTAGCATATATTTTTGTTAGATATAGTGATTCTATAAATTACATTTTGAATATTTGTAAGTATTNCTTATTATTATTGAATTACACAAAGTATTTCATAAGAAATTTATAGTAAAAAATTTTAAAAAAACATAGAAAGGTCAACTATAACAAGAAATTTAGATGTAATTATTACATGAGGTATTTGGTTATAATGTAATGAAATGCCTCAATATAATTACAGCAAGACATCAAAAATCCAGATTTGACCACAGAAAAATGAATATTAACCCTTTCAATAATAACTTTGTTGTTGCTGTTCTTTTGACCTTGCACTGACGTTCTAACATTCATTTGGAATTCTTAATTTTTTAATTTCAGAACTGTGATTAGCATATATTTTNATGCAATCAAACTTATTAAAATGAAAAATGATAAGTAATACCATTTAAATTAAAATTATTTATCTTTTTTGTACTTTGTAAATTTTTAGGAAATTCCTATACTTGGGAGAAATTTTGGGTCCTGAAAATATTTTACACCCATTTTCATGAGTTGTATTGCACAACATTATTTCTTGCTGCCTGCAGACGACTACACTTAATCAAGAATATTATCAGCAAAAAATCAAGGCAACCAAGGAGGCAAATTTCCTGACTTTCCATGATTTTTTCTGAACACTAATGAAAATTCCTGTTTTTCCTTATGTTCCAGGTATATAGGAACTCTGTACACTATTCAGGTGTTAATGGTTACCAATGTAANAATAAAAAAATAATATATTTATTTTACTTTATTGCTATACCTACCAATCTATCAATACTTTAAATTTCATTACCTATATTTCACTGATTTAATGATACTTCATAGTTTATTGATTACTTTATTGAACAACATTGTAATTGAACTTTTATAAATAATTATAGTTTTATTTATTATTGTGTAGTTATTATCTTATTATCAAAATATTAATTGTAATAACAGTGCATACAGTACAGCATAACAGCCGGAATATAGGAACATACAGTCAGTATGTATAAATAGCCAATGGCATATACATACTGTATGTATAAATAGCCATGTCCTTAAAAATTTCCCACCTTTATTCTCCACTACTTTGGGATAGCACCATACCTGACTATCCCACTGTTGAAAACTGTTAATGCAGAAACTTTAAAAAAACAAGCCAAAAGAACAATTATTATTAAGGATATGTTTTATAAAAAAATCAGTAGAAATTTTTCAATAGTAAAACTACAAGAAATTCAATAAGTAGAAAGACCTATTCCAGTGGTTCTCAAACTGGGGCATAAAAATAAATGTTATTCTTCATTTTTTCTTGCAATAACTCTAAAACTTAAATTTCTGGTAATGAGAAAACCATTTTTTCACAGACAATTCCAAAAACAAATGTTCAAGGCGATAAAATAAAACTGTAAATTACACATCAATTTGGAAGAAAAGTTTACCCATTGAGACACGAACCAGCGTCTTGCAAATCAGAGCAAGGCACGCTAACACCGAACCGTGCCATTTTGACGTATTGAGCCTATTTTGCACAATTTTGCAGTTTTTTAAAAATGTTTGAGAAGTGCACTTTCTCCCTTTGCTGAATAAAGGTATGTATCAAAGTTCACCCACGCAATCACCCTATAGTAATGTCCCCTTATTAGTAAGTTTAGACAAAGGAAAAGCTGTTACATGAGGTTACAATTATAATTTAAAACAGAGAGATAATATAGTGGAAAATAAAATGGATTCTTGCAAATAACCCACAGGTTATTTGCAAGAAATTATGGTAATGAGAACAGAATGCAAACTGATTTGATGGCAAGGTATAAACTAAAACAATCTAGGACCAGAGCTTAAACAACATTCATGACTTTATAAGTAAACTAGAATTGAAATAACCTACTCATATTCAAAATGAATTTTGATCATATTACAGTTATTTTTGTTGATAATTTAATTTTTAAAGAGTGGTTTTAGATTAATGCATAACTACATTCAAATTAAGAATTTGCTGCCTAATCTTGAAATTAAAAATTGAATTCAAAATGCATCATAGAAAAATTATAAATATATTAAAATTTATGTATTTTAAAAGATAATCTCGAATAATGTCTAATGTCTGTACATTGGCAAAATCATATAAATCTTATCAAATTTACTTTCTTTCATAACTGTATTCAATAATATCTTCTTCCAATATCAAACTGTTAGTAACTTTGATGACTTTCTTATTTTGTATAATTGCATAAACAAAATTGACAGTGCATTGGAACAGATACAACTACCAATTACATAAAAATATGTGAAAAATTTAAATTTCAGACAGATTATTCAAGTTAAACACATATTTATTAATGTTTATTGTATTGAAAATCCTTTTTAAATAAAAAAAAAATCTGTATTTGGAAATATAAGTAAAATTAATATATAAAATGGCCCACTAGTGGATGAAATCAATTAGCAAAGTTGGCCAGCCCATTAGTGAGGTGCATATCAACTTTTCTGCTAAATAAATACTTTTTAAACTTGATTGTGATTAAATTCTAAATTTATTGTTTTTGATTCACCCAAATGCAGTACCACATCAATTATCCAGCAAGATTGAAACTGGAAGTGGTCTGGATTTCTGGGCAAAGGCTAAATCTTGGTATGCAAATGACAATGTTTGTTTGTTCACTGTACACTCCTAGGCCATTTGACCAATTGCTACAAAACTTGGCAGTTACGTTCGCATACTACAAAACTTAGATAATATCGTACATCCCACCCCAAAATATTGACGGGATTTCTATAAACCAATTAATTTGTCTAAATTAGATTTGCTGATTTACACATAGCACCATCTATTGGCAAAAATTTAACAAAATAATTAACTAAATATAATTCTTACAAAAAAATATATAATTTTAAAAATATATCTGCTTATATAAGCCATTGATCCCACTGTTTGTATATCTGTCATCTGTCACAGAATGCCTAGACTGTGCACTAGGGGCATCCTTAGCGATGATTTTCAGCTATTATAAATAAATTATACTATTAGTTTAAATAACAGTATATATTATTTTTATTTGTAATAGGAATTTATTAATCCTCTTAAAATATAGAATACCATATATAGTGTAACATTTAGGATGAAAATTAAACAAAGAAAAGTGAAGAACATAATGAAACTGACATCAAGTGACACACATTGTGGAAATCAAATCTAAGTTATAATTTATTTTGTTGGTGGATGTTCCTGTATGCTATATCTAATTCACTTTATCAGTTTTTATCTTTTATTCATATCAAATGTTACAATATATAAAAACACTTACCTGGTTTAAAAGAACGGGTTCAAAAGAACTAGTCATTTCAGCTTTTTCAATTTCAAGATCAGTAGTAATTTCCCAATTATTATCTTCTAAGTTGTCTAATAATGGAGACAAAATCATTAGATCTTGGGGTCTAGATTTTGATTGAACCGATTTTCTGTCATTTAAAGTGGCTAAAATTCGAGTCACTTTCTCTGTAATATCCGAAACATCTTTCTTCACATTTTTTGATTCTGATGCACTTATGTTAATGTCCTTTTTTTCTCTGGTAATTTGCAACATACAATCGACAGAATCTTCAATTAGGTATTCTGACAGATTTTCAGAAATAAAGTCTGAAGGCTTCTTTTTGCTTTTATCTACGATTTCTGTGGATGAATTTTCACTACTAGATATAATTTTTTGATTTAAAGTACGAGTTTTGATTGTATCAACGGTATCTGTGTAAAGCCACTGAAAGATATTTTCTGTGATATCATCCACCAGATTCTCTTTTTTTATTTTTTTATCATCAAGTGATTGAGCACTTATTTCTGCATTTGATTTCTGCGTTTCATCTTTTTTATTGCCACTTTTATTTGATGAATCAGTAATTGTTTCTGTGCTTCTAGAGCTTTTTTCACTAGATAATGTTTCAGCTGCTTCCGATAGAACCTCTAAATCTTCAGAAATATTTAAATCATTTTCAGTATTATCATTTTCTTGAGCAGTATTTGTAGTCTCTTGTATCACAGTATTCTTAATTTCGGATTGTGTCAATCCACTTTTTTCAGACAAATCAACGTGCTCTTCGATATCATCGCTATTTTCTTTCAGTGATTCCTTACTAATTTCATCTTGTGATATTTCTGAACTTATTAAAGAAGCTGAAGGAGTCAAACTATGATCCTCATTTTCACCAGAAATAATTTTTGATGTATTCTCTTCTGAACTCTGTGACCCAAGAGTCTTTTTATCTGTAAATAAAAAGTCAGTATTACATATACATATATTAAATCTTAATATTTCTTTGTGGACATATGCTAGCTACATAAAATAAAAATAAATTTAAATATTAATTAGATTATTAATTGCCGAAATCCACTTCTAGACACTTTTAGTAATACTGGTTTTACTCAAATAATCCGTGCACTTATTCTAAGAAAATCACTACAAAAAGTCAGATTGTGCAGTTTATTCAAAACAAATTTGGTGACACAACTCACAAAGTACAGGGTGCTTCCAGTTACTAAGCATTTTGTTGCTTTGTTTATCTAGTTAAGAAAAATTTATCACTAACAATTTATCACATTTGAATTCTTTGCATTACATTATTTTTACACTTTAATAACTTTTTACTCATTCAGCAATGACATCTAAATTTTTGTTCTTTTGGATAAAGTGAGTTTAGTTTTGTCAACTTTGTCCCCAAAGTGTCCCCATTCCTTGTCAGATTAAATTTTTATAATCTGAGTAATTATGTGAATTCTTTGATGCAAATTATTTAAGTTATTTTATTTTAAAAAATCATAACTTGAGAAATACTACTGGAAAAAAATCATAAAGACAACAGCAAACGTTTTAANTACTGGGATGACATATGTGTTTATTGCTTTAACTGTGTGTTTTGCATTTAACTGTGTTCTGAGGATAGCATTTAACCTACTTTGGTATTCTTTAATTAATCTTTGCTTTATTTGTGTATGTTCCGTTAGTTTGGCCTGTTGGAATCCTAAATACTTGTAGAACTTGCCCTCTTCCATGGATTCAATAATGTCCTCATTTCCAAGTGCAAAATCTTCTTTCTTCAGGATTCCTTTTTCTATATGAAGTGCTTTGCATTTGTCTAAGCCAAACTCCATTTTTATGTCCTTAGTGTATGAGTGTGAGATTTGTAGGAGCTGCTGAAGTCGTTTTTGTGTGGATGCATAAAGTTTCATGTCGTCCTGTACATGTCTGATATTGTAGCCATATTGCATGTTGTTTAACATGTTGATAATGGATTCAGGGTTAGGCAGAACCAGAGAAGACTCAAGGAATCTCCTTGAAAAATTCCTCACCTAATGAATATTTTGTTTGTTTGTATGGAAGTGTTGCTAATCCTGAGATGTAATGTTGTTCTCCAGTGATGGATGTATTTTGTACATGTGTAGAATATGTAGCAACTGTGTGGAATGCTGTCGAATGCTTTTCTGTAATCTATATATGCCATGTGTATGTTTCTGTGTTGTTTGTGTGCTTGCTGTAGAATGACTGAATCTATGAGTAACTGTTCTTTGCATTCCCTGTGATTTATACAGCAACCTTTTTGTTGTTCCGTAAGAATGTCGTGTTCTTCAACATGTTTGTATATTTTGTTTGTGATACATGCTGTCAATAATTTGTGGTGTGTTGGGAGACGTGAAATTGGTCTGTATTGTGTGGGGTCTGTGGTGTGGTGGTGTTGTAGGTTTCATGTAGGTGATGCCCTGAGTAAGAAATTTTGGTATGTCTTGTGGATTATGATGATATGTGTTAGATGTTTGGCTAGTTCCTGATGCAGTGATGTGAATGTTGTCTACACCAGGTGTCTTCTGTTAACAGCGTAGCGGATGTCATGTATGTTTATTTCAGCACAGGACAAAGTTGGTATGTTGTGCAAGTTTCTGTTCTCCTCTTCAATCCAACCTGCCTCAGCATTGGACCAAAGAGAAGACCAATAAGTTATGAGTTCTTCTTCTGTTGGTGTGCCACTGTGCTGTGTATCAGTGTTTGTTTTGGTACTGATTTGTCTGTAGAAAAGTTTTTCATTGTTTGTGAATAATTTATTTTGTTGTTTTTGTAGTGTACAACATGTTTTGTATCGTTTGAGTCTACGTGCTTTGGCTAAGAGTTTCTGTTTTAGTGTATCGATGTATTCTGTAATGTGTGTGTTGTGATGTACATGTTTTGTGTGGTTTTTGAGTTGTTTTTAGTGTATTGTGTCAGCCTGCCTAATTGCTGTCTAATGTCATTTATTTGTGTTTCTATTCTTCTCTGCCAGGCAGGCTTGTGATAGGATTGTGTTTTGTGTGTGTCTGTCTGCAATTGTATTTTCAGACCATGGTGTGTTACTACCGTGACTGCTCCAGCATAAACTAATGTATGAATGTCTGAGAGTGTAGAAATTGAATGAATGTAGTTTGGTAGTAAGTGAGTGTTTACATAATTTAATGTTTTTCCTACTTCCTTTGACGTATTGATTTTTGGTATTCATGGTCTTTGTGTGGGATCTGTACCTGTATATTTAGTGAGTGTTTCCTGAAATATAAGTGGGAGCATATTAACTAATTCTATGTCTACGTTATCAGTGATGGATGGGGAAGTGCCTGCAGTATCATTAGTGGTACTTGTTGTGTGTGTGCTGTAATCAGTGCTTG